CTCGATGCAGTCGACGATCTGCTGAATGCGCCGCAGTTTGGCGAGGTGTTTGCCAACTTTGCGCGCACTTTGCCCGATCTTGAGCGGCTGTCGTCCCGCGCGGCTGCCGGAAAGGTAAAGGCGCGCGACTTTTTGGGCGTTCTTCGCGCGTTCGCGCGCTTTGGCGAGGCACAGCGGGAGCTGCGCGAGGCTGCAGACGGCTTTCGCGAGGCGATTACCGGCCGTCTGGAAGCTATTCCCGACGTCACGACTATTGCCAAGGATATGCGGTCCAACATTGCAGTGCAAGAAGACGGCACGTTCTCTCCAAAGAAGGGCGAGTATGCGCCGTTCGACGATGCCGAGGAGGCGCTGCGTGCGGCCGAACAGCGCCTGGAAGACGAGATGGATGCCGCTGCAGCGCAGCTGGGCGTCAAGCGCCGCGAGCTGGGCTGGAAGCATATCGGCACGAACGAGATATACCAACTAGAAGTGCCTGCACGGACCAAAGTTCCCGCGAACTGGATCATTATGAGCCAGACCAAGGCTGCGAAGCGATACTATACGCCACGTGGCCGCGAGTTGGTTCGCGAGTTCAAAGAGGCCAAGGAGATGCGGCTCGCGGCGGTGCGCAAGTTCCAGGCAGAGGTGTACGAAAAGTTCCGCGCTGAACGCGCCACGTTTGCGCGCGCAGTGCGCCTGGTCGCCGAAATCGACTGTCTAGTGAGCCTGGCGAAGAGCTCTGCAGCGCTTGGGATGCCTGCATGCCGTCCGGAGCTGGTCGAAAGCGACACGGCGCTGCTGGAGATCAAGGAGCTGCGTCATCCATGCATGGGCCCCAGCGCGCTCGTCGGCGGAACAGAGTTCATTCCCAACGACATCGAGCTTGGCGGGCCCACCGCGGAGGTCATGGTGCTCACCGGCGGCAACATGGCCGGCAAGAGCACGACTGCGAGAACAGCCGCCACGGCCGTGATCCTCGCGCAGCTTGGCTGCTACGTGCCTGCTGCCGCTGCGAAGATCTCGCCGGTCGACCGCATTGCGTCGCGGATGGGCGCGAATGACCAGCTGTTCCGCAACCACAGCACGTTCATGGTCGAGATGCTCGAAGCGTCCAAGATCCTCAGGGAGGCGACGCCCAAGTCGCTCGTGATCATGGACGAACTTGGTCGCGGCACCTCCACTTTTGACGGCCAGGCGATCGCGTTTGCCGTCCTGCACCATCTGGTCGCGCGCACGCGCTGCCTGTGCTTCTTCATGACACACTATACCAACATTGCAGCGAGTCTGGACAAATACCCCCGTGTGGTGAACCGGCACATGGAAGTGCTGGTCGACGATGCGCAGCGCTCCGTCGTATTCACCTACAGACTGACGCCCGGCATTGCCGAGTCGTCGTACGGCACGCAGGTGGCGGCGCTCGCTGGCGTGCCCGACACTGTGTGCACGCGCGCAGCACAGGTCTCGCGCGACTTTTTTGACGACACGGCCGCGCATCATGAGCGACGGAAGCACAGCCGCATTGCGCTCGAGACACTGAGCGACTTTAGCTGCCTGTGGTCCTTGGCGCACGGTGGAGCGCCGACTCCTCTGGCCGTGATGTACGAACACGCAGCTAGTCTCTCATCCTGAGCGCAGAGCACACACTTGTGGGCGCGAGTGTGCGCGATGCAAACACCACAAGCAGTTTAGTGCACACGCGCTGCAGGGACCTATTAGATACAATATTTAAATGCACGACGAACAATGCGCAACCTATGGAAGCGCATGTTTATTCATAACGCAGCCTTTTTAAAATATTACAGTCAGCCCTGTGCAATACACCCACACTAAATGCGCGAAGGGCGCTCTCTCGAGAATGACGGGGGCGCATGGGACCCTGGGTCCAGCAAAAGTGTTCCCGGTCGGCCCCCGGTGATTGTGCCTCCTGCATCTCAGCAATATAACGGCGCATTGGGTATCAGCCATATACCATCGATGCCAAGATCAATATCTGTCCACAGCAGCGATAACGACCGGCCAGAAACCTCGCCGATCACTGCTACCTCGCCCGAATGTTGGGCGTCGCACTCCTCCGGCGGCGCGACTCCGCCTGGACTCGGCATCAGCGGGCTCGGGCGGTCTTCGTCCGTGCGGAGCCAGCGGCTGTGGCAAGATATCGACGGCAAGCCGCTTCTGCCCCTGCCCAGCCCAGCGATAAATCGGCCGCAGAACATGCAGCTGGACTGGGAGCAGGAGGACCAGGACCCCAACTCTGACACGCGGAGCGAGTCTAGTCGGACATCAGCCTTCTTTGACACACAGCCGATTATCCGCTCGCCGAAGCCGCCGGCAAGCAAGGGCATCTCACGCAGCGCAAGCACGCGCAAGGCAAGCACCGGCATCGAGCAGCAGGTGCGACGGCAGCGTGCAGTCAGCTCGCCGAACCGCGGCACAGAGTTTTCATTTTCCGTGTACAAGTCTATCAATGGAGAGCCGCTTTCCGATCAGCCGCAGGGGAGCTTTCTGTTCCCGAGCGATCCGCTGTCGCTCGAGCCGCTCAGCGACGCTGACCCGCACTTTCCAGCAGACAGTGCGAGCGTGTCGTCTCCGACCGAGCACGCGCGCCGGCTCGAGGACCTGATTCCCACTGCAGAATACGCCGCGCTGTCGACTGAAGCGGTGACGACAAAGCGCGCGGGCATGACGCGCCACGTGCATGGGCCGTCGATGAGCATCACCAAGGACAGTCTGCTGCCGTCACCATCGATGCCGTCCCCCGGCATGCAGAAGCGGGGGTCGCTCGACGTCTCAGAGCAACTCCTGCGCTCGCTTGACACGCCGTCAGAACGCGAGGACGAAAAGACCAACCGCATTGGCCCATACCACATAACTGCCAAGCTGGGAACTGGCGCGTTCAGCAAGGTCGTCCTTGCCGAGCGCATCGAAGGCAAGCCCGACATTATCTGCGGCAAACCGCATCGCAAGGTCGCGCTCAAGATGATAGCATGCGAGCCGTGGAAGAGCAACGAGCGCATGCGTGTCAGCTGGGTGCGCGAGGTCGAAGTGCTCAAGCATGTGAATCATCCGTCGATCGTTAACTTTATCACCTCGTTCCGCACTCCAGTTCACTACACGCTGGTGCTGGAGGCGCTCGACGGTGGAGAGCTGTTTGATGTGCTTGCGCAGCACCATGGACTGATCGCGCAGCGGGAATGGCTTGTGCGTCGCATATTTGGCGAGCTCGTGAGTGTCGTCGGCTGGATGCACTGCAATAATCTTGTGCACCGTGACCTGAAATTGGAAAATATAATGCTTACGCGTCCCCTTTTCTACCAGGGTGCGCCTCCACTCCGGCCAAGCGACCTCGGGTCAGTGCCGATTGTCAAGATCACAGACTTTGGACTCGCACGCTTCATCGAGAACGACACCAAGCTCGAGACGCGCTGCGGCTCCGAGGAGTATGTCGCGCCCGAGCTGATTATCGGCAAGAACTACGACGGTCGCAGGACAGATGTATGGGCCCTCGGTGTGGTGCTCTATGCCTTGCTTACCGGCGTGCTTCCCTTTATTGAGCCGCCAAACGAGGGCACCTGTATGACTAGCCAGATCTCGCAGCGCGAAAGCCATGTCGATGGCAGCGGACGCAGCGACCGCGATGCGAAGCTCCGCAGGGCGCATCTCTTGCGCATCGCCAAGGGCGAGCTGTGCTGGCCCACCGGCACGAATGACGAGAGCGTGGACGAGCCGAAAAGCAACCCAGAGCTGCGCCTGGTGACGCCCCGGGCCCGTCATGTCGTCTCGCGCTTCCTCGAGCGCGATGCGCTCAGACGCACTACATGCTGGGACCTCTGGAAGGACCCATGGATCACTGAAGGGAGCTTTGGCGGTCCCGAAGCGCTGCCGGAGGCCGGCAGCAGCATCGGCAGCAAGTACGACGGATCTGTGATGCTATGCGTTGCGAATGAGAAGAGCGCATTTGGAGAGCTTGTGCCTATACCACTCGATCCACGCAGTGCGGAGGGTCAAAAGTGGCTGGCAGATAATGCATGTACCTGCAGCAGTGACCCGAGCACTGTTGCGCGCCATGATATGCAGGACGTGTTGTAACAAAATATTTAGTAATGCCAGTGTGTATTAGCATTTACCCACTAAAATACCTCACCAGACATGTATGAGAATATGATGATGTCGATGTTCGGGTCCGACCCACTCGACGGGTTCGCTGCGGTCGTTGCCGATTGGATCTGGAAGCATGGCGAGGGTGTGCCCGACCTTGAAATCGAGGCCAAGATCGGCACTCTGGTCGACCGCAACACTGGAACGCGTGTCAAGCTTCCGGTGCTCACAGAGACAAGTATGTGTCTGCTAACAGTCATTGAAGATATGCCCCATGTCCGATTCGAGAGTATGATGCCGATGGAGTCACACAGGCTGTACAACAAATTGCTGAACAATGCCGTGCAGCACAGTGCCATATATCCATCCGGCGCAAAAATCCGGTATGCCCATCATCGTGAGATTGACTCGTTCTATGATGAGCAACTGCCGTCCGGACAGAAAGTCCACCTGCGTGTAACTCGTGACGCAAGAACTGGAGAGGTCAAGCCGAACGGCGTTATCAGCAAGCGTCGCATCGCTGATCTTAACATTTATGTACCTGCGCACAAGTTTGACTATCGGATCAGCATCAACAGCGAGACCCCGATGCCTCTGCCCCCGGCACAATCTAAACCTGTTTATGTCCGGGAGAAGGATCGTCTGACCTATACTCACCAGCGCTTCAAGGTCGACTTGACCCAAGTCACGATGCGCGAAAAGGAGCGCATCCACGAGCTCGAGGTGGAGATCGTGGATACAAAAGAGCTGATGAACTACGGCTACAACTCGCGCTCGTCTGGAAGAGGCGCAGAGTGGACCAGGTATGATGACATTATCCTGGTATTCCTCAACAACATCCGCATGATTGTGCGGAACCACGCGTACCGAGGCTGAGGCCGTACACGTGAAAGTGCGATCTGGATGTCTGGTTCGACAGCCTTGGCAAGATGGCCGAGTGGTTAAGGCGGTAGCCTGCTATACGCACGACTAGTGATAGTCGGTAAGCTATTGGGTTCTGCCCGCGTGAGTTCGATTCTCACTCTTGTCGAATCTTTTTTGCTCTTCTGGTCTATTCACGTAATCTATGCCCTAACCCCCCTCCACTCGGTCACTCTTTGACCCACAAACACCACGTATATAACACGTTCTACGCTCTAGCATCTCCGACAATACATACATATATCTTCTTTAACTTGTTTGCACCCCACCCCCACCTGCTTGTTAGACATTATTTTTGTTGTTGTCTACTCTGCTCCCCCACACTACATCTGTCTAGCTCTGCTCACCAAACCACGGAAGCACATAGCGGAGGCGCTCAATCACGTGGGGCTTGATGAACTCGGGCTTGGTCATCACGCTGAAACGCATGCTGCCGTTCATGTGGCGCACAATAGTAGCGAATTCATCCTTGACCAGGTCGTGCACCTTGTCGAGCAGCGCAAGCGTGACGACCTCAGAGGCCGCGACGTTAGCACGAAGGCTCTCCAGGACTTCGGCAACGCTCACCGCCTCGTTCGACTCGCGCCACGAGTCGTAGTCCGTCGCGGTGGCGATCAGCACGTAGCTGATCTCGGCCTCGCGCGCAAGCTTGGCCTCGGGAAGCGCCGACATGTTGATAATGTCGCCGCCTACCTGGCGGTACATGACCGACTCGGCGCGCGTCGAGAACTGCGGTCCTTCCATGCACACGGTGGTCTTGTTCGCATGCACACGCACGCTGGGGGAGTGCGCGTAGAGCGTCTCACGAACACTGTCAGCAACAAACGTACATTCCCTCGACCACATGGCGGAGTGTCTCGTCAAAGGGGTCGCCGAACGTGGCATGCGCCACGACATTCTCCTCCTCGCCCTCGCCAAAGAAGCTGGCGCGGCGGATGCCCTTGGTACGGTCAATAATCTGCGACGGAACAACAAAGTCCTTGGGCGCGATCTCCTCGCGGAGCGAGCCCACGGCCGAGAATGCCAGGATGGCACGCACGCCGAGGTGCTTCAGTGCAGCAATGTTGGCCAGCGAAGGCACCTTGGACGGAGGGATGGCGTGGTGGAGACCATGGCGCGCAAGGAAGGCAAACAGGTTGCCAGACTTGGAGCGGCCAATAGTGATCGGCGACGAAGGGAAGCCCCAGGGAGTCTCGGGGTATACCTGGTCGACCACTTCGATGTTGCTCAGCTTGTACAGGCCCGAGCCACCGATGACGCCGACGCGAATAGGCTCGCCAGTCCACTCCTTTGGTGCAGCAGCCATGGTTGGTGGAGTATGGGGACCCGTGCGTGCTGGCATGCATGTATTTATTGCGTGCGCATATAATTACAAAACCATGGCGCGTGCGCCAGTGACCCCAGCGAGGGAATTCGCGGATGCGCGTGCATTCGAAGAAGACAACGTGCATGCGTGAGTGCCTGCTGACAGCGTATATGACGCGATAGCCGCACACTTTTCCAGCACAAGATACAAGGTGGGTGGTGCCTGCTGACCGGCCATGGCCGCTGGTGCCTGCCTTTCTCGCGACGCTCCCCCCGGGGTCTGTCGGTGCAGATCTCGGCTGTGGTAACGGCAAGTATCTCGGCGTCGCGTCGGTGGTCGATGGGAGCGGCCACCTGCTTACGATTGGCTCGGACAGGTGTGCTCCACTTGTGTCGGATGCACAAAAGAATGCCAAAAACGCACGCCTTAACGAGGTCGCTGTGGCCGACGCGCTCTGCAGCGGGTTCCGCGCGCAGACGTTTGACTACGCGCTGAGCATCGCGACCATCCACCACTTTTCCACCGAAGAGCGGCGGCGGCAGAGCGTCCAAGAGATGATCCGCGTGGTCAAGCCTGTGCGCTGCGCTGCGACGCCGGGTGCTGCGGACACCCGCGAAAGCAGCGAGGCTGGTGGTGGCCCGCCGGTCATCACCGGCCATGGTCCCGGCCGTTTCATGATCTACGTCTGGGCGCTCGAGCAGCGCGGCGGCGGCCGGAGACAGTTCGACACGGCGCTGGCAGAGCAGGGCGACGCGACAGTCCAGGACGTGCTCGTCCCATGGGTGTCTACCGGACAGCACAATGCGCAGGGCGTGCACGAACGATGTGAGTTGCTGTCTAACCAGACTACCATCTATTTCGTGAGTGCGAACTAGAGGAACTCGTGAGCGCCGCAGCAGCGGAGCTGCGGCAGCAGGTGCCCTTTTCGAGGCATCATGTCATATGTGAGTCACGTGGCTGGGAGAAGGGGAACTGGTGGGGCATTTGGCGCGTCGAGACACACTAGACAGACTCGGACTCGGCGGCCTTGCGTGCATTCTCCTCGGCGGTGGGCGCCTTGGGCGCCTCGCGCTCGCGCATGCTGCGCACTGCCTCGTCGGCGCCGCGCGCGCGGAAGACACGCAGGCTCGGCGCCCAGCGTTCATTCCACACGACGCCGTGTGCGGGCGACACGATCTCGTATCCCATCGCAAGCTCGCGCCACTCTTTTTCCTTGTTGAAGCGCTCCTCGCGCAGCTCAATCTCGGTGGGCGGCGGCTCGCGCTTCTCGCTCTTGGTAGGCTCGCGCTCCCCACGTGCCAGCTCACGTGCCGTCTTAAGACGCTCAGGGAGCCTGCTGTAGAACGACTCGCGCTCCTTCTCAATGTTGCTCAGCGTGTTGTTGAACTTGGGCGGATAGCACGAGTCCTGCGCAAGTCCCCAGTCCAGGTCGCCACCCTGCGGCGGGTCGCTGTGCCCGGTGCCGGCGTCGAATGCACGTGCGTCGGTCTTGTCGCCAAGCACAATAGCAAGCGCGGCCTCGGCGCCGATCAGCGCGTCGTGCCGGCGGTTAAAGAAGCGGACAATGCGAGTGGGCCAGTTGCGCCAGCCAGCAAGGTTGATGTGGTCGACGTAGCACAGCGGCGCCTGCGCAGGGATCACGTCCACGGGCGCCAGCTGAGGCTGCTCGGCAGCCGGGACGGCCGCGGCGGCAGGCTGTGCGAGCTTGGGGCCGGACGCCATCACCTGACCGCTCAGCGACGCAAGACCGACCTGCGTAGGAAGCATCAGGCCGCCCGTCACAGGGAGCGGCTCGTCGTCGCTCGCGGCATCGGTAGCGGCAGAGGCGGTGGCGGCGGCGCCCTCTTCGAGGCTCGGCACCTCGTCAAACCTGCCGTCGTCCGCAAGCTGCAGCGAAAGCTCCTGGTCCTTGTCCACAGGCTCCTGCGGGATGCTGGTGTCCCAGCCGCTGTGCAGCGCCCATGCCCACTCCTTGAGTGCGGGGCGTCCCACAATCACGGTGGCGCCGTCGAGCTCGCGCTGCAGCTCCTGTGCAGGAGTGAGCTGGAAAGGAGCCTGCGGTGCCCCTTCGTTCTCCGCGTGCCACGGCTGCAGTCCCGCAAGGATGCGGCGGCGCTCGTGGATACGGTCGCGCAGCGTGCGTGCAAGACCGCCGTGGCGCGTGCCAGTCACGATTTCATAGTCCACCGCGGCCGCCACAAGGACGGGCTTCACGTAGCGCTTGAAAAACGTGGTGCCGGCATGGTAGTCGTCGTCGCCGGGGTACTTGGCGGTGTACACGGTGACCTTGCGTGGCCACTCGCTCGGGCTCATCGGCGCATCCGCGAGACCACGCACGCGCTCGATGTAGTCTGCGCGAATCTTGCGGACCTGCCGCCGGTCGTCATAGTATAAATAGGAAATGGTGCCCACTGTGAGGAAAAAGATCGACCAGTTGCGCGACGGGAGACGTGGCTTCCATCGCAACACACTTTCCGGAATGCCCATGAAGAGCAGTGGCCGGAGCATGCCCCGGATTGGCTGAGGCGGCTCAGCCGGCGGTTTGCTGCTCATGGTGGAAGCGTAAAATTCGTGGATTTCGTAATATTACTTCTATGCGCGGACCACTCGTGCAGCGCGAGCTCCACGCGAGTACGGGCGAGCTCTCGCGTGCCGATGGCAGTGGCTCATTTGGGTACGGCTCACAAACGAGTATGGCCAGCGTCATAGGGCCGATTGAGGTGCGTCTCCGCGAGGAGATCACCGACAGCGCTACGCTGCAAGTGACATTTGTGCCGCAATCGGGGCCTGTGGGCATCTCGGCCAAGGCTGTCAGTGCTGATATCCTGGGCCTGTTCAAGGCTGTTGTCCTGCTGCATCATCATCCACGCACACAGATCCAGGTGACTGTGCAGACCATATCTACGGCACCTGCCTCAAGCACGGGGAACCTCCCGCTGCTCCTTGGCCCAGATGCGGCTCCACTTGCGTCGGAGATTGCCGCCTCAATAAATGCCGCATCGATGGCACTCCTTGATGGAGGTATTCCGATGAAGGCCACCGTCGCAGCAGTGTCACTCGCAGTGATCGACGCTGACAAGGCCAGGCGCAGCCTTGCAGACAAGAACGACCTTGTCATTGTGGTCGATCCATCGGCTGAAGAGGAGGCGCTTGCACAGAGTACCCATGTATTTGCATTCGCGATCTCGGGCATCGATCCCACTGCGCCCAATACAGATGACGCCGCTGTGCAGCTCGTCTATTCTTCCAGCGCTGGCGCTACACAGCTGCCAATGCTCTCACGGCTGATCCAAACTGCATCTGACGTTGCGCTAGAGACACATGCATTCATGCGTAGCAAGCTCATATAGATTCGATTTCATCTTAATGTCTACATCACCAGAGGGTCTTCTCGATAAAGTAGAGGAGACAATTGAGTAGTATGTGCATTTGTATGCAACTACAGCACTCGCACTCAGCAAGCGCCAATGGTTTAGTGGTAAAATACAGCTTTGCCATCAAGGATTAGCTGTGCCGGGGGTTCGATTCCCCCTTGGCGCATTCGTTTTGTTATTCAAGCGAATAAGCTCTATTATTTTGTTACATAATGTGCTTCAATGAACAGTGATAATTCTATTTATGTGTCCGCGGACATATCGAAGGCGCCAATGGTTTAGTGGTAAAATACAGCTTTGCCAAGAGATTTAGCTGTGCCGGGGGTTCGATTCCCCCTTGGCGCAATCTTCTTTTGAATTCTAGAACTAGTGTTTTTTTTCTTCTTTTTCTATTTACTTTAATTTTTGTGTAATTTTTGTCAGCATGAC